TTTTTTTGTGAGAGTTGGATCCGCCTTATCCTAGTATTTTTTTTTTTTTGTGACTCATAAAATATAAAATATCGTTTCATTATATTCGGACAAATATTTCTTAGGTATTCAAAAAAAATATAAGAAAAAAGTAGCAAAGTTAAAATTTTTATATTTAAAAAATAATTAAATTTATGAAAATTTTTAAAAATTAACATAGTAATATAGTGTGTTTGATTTGAGTTTGTCTAGATTAAGTTTTTTGAAAATTGACTTTTTCTATGTTCGTATTTTTGTTTTTAGTGGAATATTTTTTTAAATTTTAAACATTTTTGTTTACTTTTTACTTTAATGTATCTAAAAAGAAAAAATTTATGAAAAAATATTTTTAAAAAATTATAAATATTATAAAATACAAAAAATGTAACTGAATTCTTTATACATTTTTTTTTTATTTTTGATATTTAAGTGAATTTTTAAAGATTTTTTTTACTATAATTTTTTTTACTTTTTAGGTGTAGTTATGTTAAGGTGTTTGTTTAAAAAAGTAAAAAAATTGCTTAAAAATATTAAAAAAATTCAGTAAAAACAAAAAAATACGGAAAATAAGGAAAGTAGAATTTTCTGAAAAAATATTTTTTGAAAGGTGTAAACAAGCAAGTTGATTAATATTTAATAAAATTTTATCACTAATTTAGAATTATTTTTAAAAATAACATGTGTTTTCTCAAAAATAAAAAACCTTTCAAAAAGAAAAGGCCGGCTAATTTTTTTTTTTTCAAATTTTATTTTATTTTATTTTACTAGATTGAAGATTAAAAAGGACAAATTTTATTCACAATGTAATTCTCATAAATGGGATTTTTTATTGATAAGTCAATTTTAGAAGTGTTTTAACCCAAGAAGTCCATGAAGGAATTTTTTAACCTATTTAGTCCCATGTTATGTATAGTTTTTATCCATAAACGTCCATTTTCTTGATTACACACTAATTTTCTTTGGACACTTATGCCCTTATATTTAATTTTGATACCCCTTATAAATATTTTTTTGGAAACGATTAGCCAATTTTAATTGATGCAAAATTTCATATTTTAAAAATTCACTATTGGTAGAAAAAAAGAATGTAAAATTGGCCCGTGGCGGCCGAAAACCCGGCCGCATGCCGGGCAGGCCCGGCCCGTTGACAATGTGAATATTCATATTGACATATTAACATTCACATTAATAAGAAGTGTAAAATTAACCCCCGTCCGTGCGGCGCGAAACCCGCCCTGCGACCCATGGCCGGCCCTTGGGCGGTCCGGTCCAGCCGTCGAAATGTGAATATTCAGCATTGACATGTTAACATTGCACATTGATAAGAGCATAAAAAATTTTGGGGGCCGGCCGGCCCATGTGCGGCCAAAAGGCCCGCTCGAGCCCAGGGCGGGCCCGGCCGGCCCGTTGAACAATGTGAATATTCACATTGACATGTTAACATTCACATTGATAGGGAGTATAAAATTAGCCCGCGCCTCGTGGGCTGCACCAAAACTCGCCCACGGCCCGTGGGGCGGGCCCCGACCCTGCGCCTGTTGAAAATCGTGAACTGTTTCACATCTGACATGTTAACATTCACATTGATAAGAGTATAAAACTGGACAGCAGCCCAAGGGCGGGCCCGACCCGGCCCGGCCCGTTGACCAATGTGAAATATTCACATTGAACATGTTAACATTCACTATTAATAGGACGTGTTAAAATTGGCCCCCGTCCCGTGACGGCGCGAAACTCGCGCCGGCGCCATGGGTTGGCCCGGGGCCGGGCCCGGTCCGGCCATTGACAATGTGAATATTCACATTGACAGTTAACATTCACATTGATAAGAGCATAAAAATTGGGTCGCGGCCCATGGGCGGCCAAAAGCCCGCCCGCGGCCCGGACGGGCCCGGGTCCGGCCCGTTGACAATTGAAATTCACATTGACATGTTAACATTCACATTGATAGGAGTGTAAAATTAGCCCGCACCTCATGGCTGCCCGAAAACCGCCCACGGGCCGTGGGCGGGCCCGGCCCTGCCTGTGACAATGTGAATGTTCACATTGACATTGTTAACATTCACAATGATAAGAGTATAAAACTGGACAACAGTGCCAGGGCGGGCCGACCCGGCCCAGCCCGTTGACAACGTGAATATTCACATTGACTGATTAAATTACATTAATAGGAGTGTACAATTGGCCTCCGCCCGTGGTGGCGCGAAACCCGCCTGCGGCCTATGGGCGGTCCACGGCGGGCCCAGTCCGACCTGTTGACAATGTGCATATTCACATTGACATGTTAACATTCATATTGATAAGAGTTATAAATTGGCCCGCGGCCCATGGACGGCCAAAGCACCGCCCGTTGCCCGGAGCGGGCCCGGCCCGGCCCGGCCTGTTGACAATGTGAATATTCACATTGACATGTGACATTCACATTGATAGAGTGTAAAATTGGCCCGCAGCGTGGGCGGCCCCGAAAGCCCGACTGCAGCCGAGGCGGGGCTGGCCCGACTCGTGACAATGTGAATATTCATATTGACATGTTAACAATGCACATTGGATAGGAGTGTAAAATTAGCCCGCCGCCTCGGGCTGCCCGAAACCCGCCCACGGCCCCGTGGGTGGCCCGGGGCGGGCCCGGCCCGGCCTGTTGACAATTGTGAATATTCACATTGACATGTTAAACATTCACATTAATAAATGTGTACCAATTGGCCCGTGACCCGTGTGCAGCCCGAAGCCTGACCTCAGGCCGGGGGCGGGCCCGGCTCGTTGGCAATGTGAATATTCACATTGACATGTAACATCATAATTGATAGGAGGTAAAATTGGCCGCAGCCCGTGGGCGGCTCGAAGCCTGATCGCAGCCCGAGGCGGGCTTGGCCCGACCCGTGATAATGTGAATATTCACATTGACATGTTAACATTAACATTGATAGGGAGTGTAAAATATTTGTTCCTTGCCCGAAGCTCGCCCGGGGTATGCCGCGGACCAAACCCCGGCCGCTCACGGGCTTCAGGCCCGCCGTGGGACGCGAGTCAATTTTACACCCTTATCAATGTGAATGTTAACATTGTCAATGTGAATATTCACATTGTAACAGGCCAGGCCGGGCCCGCCTCGGGCCGCCCACGGGCCGTGGGCGTTATTTCGTGGCAGCCACGGGGCACGGGCTAATGTTATATACTCTTATCAATGTGAATGTTAAATATGTCAATGTGGAATTATCATGTTGTCAACGGGCTGGGCCCACCCCCGGCCCGGGGTCGGGCTTCGGGCTGCTCACAGGTTCAACGGGCCAATTTTACACTCTTATTCAATGTTAATGTTAATATGTCAATGTGAATATTCACATTGTCAACGATGCCGGGCCGAGCTCGCCCTGGCAAGCGGGCGGGTTTCGGGCCACCCACGGGCCACGGGGCCAATTTTACACTCCTATCAATGTGAATGTTAATATGTCAATGTGAATATTCACATTGTCAACGGGCCGGACCGGGCTCGCCCCGCGCCGCCCACGGGCTTCGTGCCGCCCATGGGACGCGAGTCAATTTTACACTCTTATTAATGGAATGTTAACATGTCAATGTGAATATTCACATTGTCAATAGGCCGGGCCGGGCCCCACCCCGGGCCGCCCACTGGCCGTGGGCTAGTTCGAGCATCACGGACGCGGGCTAATTTTATACTCTTATCAATGTGAATGTTAACAGTCAATGTGAATATTCACATTATCAACGGGTCGGGCCGGGCCTGCCTAGGCAGCCCACCGAGTCGGCGGGCGGGTTTCGGCCGGCCACAGGCCGCGGCGGCTAATTTTACGCTCCCTTCAATGTGAATGTTAAACATATCAATGTGATATTCACATTGTCAACGGCCGGGCCCTGGGCTCGTCCCCGACCCGGGACCCGGGCTTCGGCTGCCACGGGTCATGGAGGCCAATTTTACATCTCTTGTCAATGTATTTGTTAATGTTAATATTCCAATGTGAATATTCAGCATTGTAAACGGGCCGGTCCGGCCACCCCCGGGCGGCGGGATGTTCGGGCCAGCCCACAGGGTTCGCCAGGCCAATTTTTTAACACTCCTATCAATATGAATGTTAACTTGTCAATGGTAAATATTCTATTATATCAATAGGCCGAAGCCGGGCTATTTTTTTGTGGCCTGTAGGCCGGCCGACCCGACCTCGAATTTTCCGGCGCACCCACAGGATTACATGGGTGACATGAGCCGGGCCCCTTCACATTGACGATATGAACATTTACGTTGACGGTGTGAACATTCACATTAAGGGTATTTTGGTAATTATGTCACCCATAGGACTTATTGAAACATAAGAAAATAATGTGAACTAAATGGAACATAAGTAGATGAAAAGGGTATTTTGGTCTTCTTATCTCAAATTGGACCTAATGGAATAGTCAAAAAGAATATGGGTTGGATGGAATAAATCTCTTAGAAAATGGATTTATCAAAAAAGCTCCCTTCATAAATTTATTACAAAATTATGAAAAAAAATTTGTTTTTAATAATAAAAATATATTCATTATTTTTAAAATTTCAACCAAATTGTAATTTTTCCAAATTAAAATGTTAGGCCAGTGAAGTTAACTACCTAGGATTTGTGTGGCAAAGATTAAAATTTAATTTTTTAGGTTAAAATTTATAAAAATATAAAATAGACTAAAATAGTCAATAAAACAAAATGCCATATCAAACTTATAATCATTTTTACTTTATCTCTCATAAACATCACATCCAACTAGAAAAAAATTCAACCATCGTTTCAAATATAAAAAATTTTAACATACTAAAAGAGCCAAAAATTAAAATAACTACCCAAACAAGGCCCTAGTCTTCAAAAATTACCCAATGTTTATTTTCTAAATACCCTAACTTCACCATCCCATCAAAAAAAAAAAAAAACCCTAACTTGACAAAAAACAGAACGGAGTACCCCCAAATGTCTCTGGTAAAACCCTATTTTCTCTCTGCAAACCCAAACCCACCATTGACGATGAGAGACGATCAACAACCACTAGTCAAACGCAAAGGCAAAGGCGAAGATCTCACCAAAACCCCATCTTCTCGGAAGCGATTCCTTGCCGATCCGCAGCCAAAACAGGGCTCTGCCGCCGCGGCCGCATCGTCCGATTCGGCTCTGTCATCGGACTCATCTTCCGATTATCGGTTCCGTAAGAAAACCAGAGATCTACCCAATTTTTCCGATTGCCATTGCTGTGGACTCCGAATCAACACCACAAACCCCAAAGACAAGCTCCAAACCCTAGACAGCTTTTGGCGGATCGTCCTCCTCTGCAAGAAATGCATAAACCGCGTTGACTCTGCCGAATTGTGCTCGTATTGCTTCTCGGAGATTCAGGAGGAGGATTGCTTCAGATGCCGAGACTGTGAACGCTGTGTTCACCGTGATTGTGTCTTGAAGTATCGTTGTTCTGCGCCCTGGTCGTATTGTTTTTCAGAATTAGGGTTTTCGGTTTGTGTTGATTGTTGGGTACCCAAATTGCTCGCAAATTCGAATAGGGTCTTCAAGAAAATAAAGAAAAGTAATGTGAAATCGTGTCCAGTGGCCAATTCTAGGGTTTTAGATGTGGTGAATGATGCGAAGAGTGTGGTGGAGAGGAAAGGTTTGGTTGCAGCTAAGGCTAAAGAGAATGCATTGAGAAAAGCTGTGGTAGCTAGAAGGGCTGCGAAATTGGGGAATGGTGCGTTGGAATTGGATGCGAAGAAAGATGAGAATGGTGCAAAGAATGAGTGTTCGGTGATGAGTAGTAGTGCTTCTGATAGTACTACTATGGCTGTTGATGATGCAGACCTGGCTTTTCAATTGCATCGTGTAATGAACAGCTCACCAAGGATTTCAAAGAACTTTGGTTTGATTAATTCGGGCTGTTTGACTGTTCCAAGAATAAGGGACTGTAATGATAGTTCATCGAATGGGTTATCTGGCTCAAAGGGGAGTTCTAATCATAGTGTTTGTAGGAAGATTGAGGTATGGACTAATATGGCTTCAGATTGTGGTTCTCATGTTGGTTTGGATAATTTAAAGGACGGAATGGTTTATACAAGGAGGTGTAGAAAGGACAAGGAATGTCGGGAAATTGATGGACAGATTGTTGGAAAATGCAACCCTGGTGATGACAATAGCCTGATTTCTGAATCTAAGTCTTGTTGGAAACAAGATGAATTGGAGTGTGAGTTGCATCCAGATGACGCTAGAAACCACAGTCGAATGGTGTGTGATGGAAATGCTACCGGGCATGATGGAAGATGCAATGGCAAGCTTGATCGCTATATGTTGAAGTATAGCAAGAGGCCTGTTGGCTCGAAAGCAATTTCAAATAGTGAAACTAAAATTCTTGATGATGGTGCTTATGTTGAAAGTAAAGATACAGCTGCGGGACCTCTGAATTGTTCAGAGGAATGTAGAACGTTCTCTGATGCTTCATTTCAGTCTAAAACTGTTTCTTTGCAACCTTCAGCTTGTGCAAGTGGTTTGGATAATTTAAAGCAGGACGGAATGGTTTACACAAGGAGGTGTAAAAAGGACAAGGAATGTCATGAAAATGATGGACAGATTGTTGGAAACGGCAATCATTGTGATTACAGTACCCTGATTTCTGAATCTCAGTCATGTCATAAACAAGATGAGTTGGAGTATGAGTTGCATCTAGATGACACTAGAAACCAAAGTCAATATGGAAATACAGCTATGCTGCATGATGGAAGATGCAATGGGAACCTTGATCGCTATATGTTTAAGTATAGCAAGAGGCCTGTTATCTTGAAAGCAATTTCAAATAGTGATACTAAAATTCTTGGTGATGGTTCTTATGTTGAAAGTAAAGCTACAGCTGTGGGACCTCTGAATTTTTCAGAGGAATGCAGAACATTCTCTGATTCTTCATTTCAGTCTTGCACTGTTTCTTTGCAAGCTTCAGCTTGTGAAAGTGGTTCATCGCGAGATCCATCCTGAATTAAGCAGGGGACAACAAACATTTTCACTTCTCAAATTTGGCTGTTACTTATTGGAGTTGAGGGCTTCCATCATGGTTGGTAAGTCATCCTATTTAAGAAAAGAAAGACTGCCACATCTTGCTTTTGTGCCTACTTCTGCTGGCACACAATTTGTATAGTATATTTAATTGCTTGCCTGTGGTTTGATATATTCAAGTTTCCATTATTTTCTTCATGAGTATTTTCCCTAATTGTAATCTTTATGGCATGCTACAGTTTGCAGTAGAATACAAATTTGAGATTCTCGATTTGTTTCCCATAAACACCTTCATAGATGACATCATTTAAACATTTGACCTTCTTGTTGTCGTGATGCCTCAGATTTCATTGTTTTTTGTTTTTGTTTTTGGTAAGTAAAGATCAATTTGTATTATTGGCTCACAAACACCCAAGGGGATTCAGCCATGTACAAGAGATCAAAAGGGCTCAACAAAGAGTCAATTTCTCTCCCTCCTCGAACTCCACCATCCAAAACTTCTATTTAGCCTTCCTCCTACATTCACTTTCCCAACAGTCCAAAACCTCTTTAACAGAACACGGCGAACACAGATAATACCGAATCTCAAAGATCCTTTGTCACTCACTGGGCAACAGAAAAGAAGGTGATCCATCGTCTCTAACTGCTTACAACCCATGCCACATCTACTAGCCATCCTATAACCTCTCTTCATTGTTTTCGTCAGTACCTATAACTTATTTGGATAGAGATTAGTTCAATTTGATTATAGATTTCATAGATTTTGGGTTAAAACACAATGGTGAATTGCAAATACACTTGTAACTGTCTTGTCTGATGGCATCTTGGTCATCTGGTCACAATATGACCTTCCATTCCATGGTGGAGACTTTTCATGCCCCAGTTATCAGCCCATTGAGATGAGTCTTGTATCGTAGAAAGCTTCAAATCCTTCCACAGATGCCAGCAAAATAATTCCTGAAGTCTCAGTATAGTCCCTTATGTCATGTCCCTTGCACAGGCTTACCAATTGCTTCCTTCTTGTTAGTGTGGCTCTCACTTATTTAACGGTTGCCTCATGGCCTTTCTATGGATATCACAGTGCCAGCCAAGAGATCAAGGAAAAGCCTAGATTTTAAATGACTTACTTTGTCTTTGATATCATGTATGTAGCTACAAGCTCCCACGTAGACATTGAAATTTTTCATTGGGAGTAGGACTTTCAGTTAATCAGGGGTTGGTTCAACTAGCAATCTATGTTGGTTTTTTGTCCTCCATAGTTAGTTCCTGCCATCATCAGTTTTCAGCCCTACTTAGACCCTTCATGGTTCCATAAAACCGACATTTGCCATTGATTTTATTTTTTATTTTTTGTTGCAATTTTGGAATGTGTGGGAACAATAAAAAATACCACCAACCTCAAATTGGTGGTATGTTGTGACATAAGAATTCTTCTTCTCCTCTTTTATTTTTATTATTTTTTATTATTTTATTTTAAATTGAAACTACGTAAAATCTGTGCCATGTTTATTTCACTGCGCCTTGGCCCTGCTCTGGACCCATGCTATTGTCAGATTTGCTGCTTTCACTCTATTGCTCTCTCACAATCTCCCTTTGTGCTCAAGACAATTAGTGTGCACGTTGAGCCTGCTTTATCTTGATGAGTTTCTTTGTTGAAATTTCTTCTTCATTTTTTCCTGCAAAAGTGGTCCTATTGAGAATCTGCGAGTCTCTGACTTTTAACACTTGTGATTGTACCAGTGAAGCTTCTATTTTTTATTTTTTCCCTTTTCTTTACGGGCACCAAATGCATCTGGTTGGTTGTCACCCACTGAGTTGGTTTCTTGATTACATGCCTCTTATGTGTGCTAATCATAAGATAAATTGATGATTTATGTACCTGCTCCTTTTCCAGATGATGTGAAATTCAATAAATATGTAGAAGCTATGGTAGATATCCACCAGATACATGCATCTGTCACGATGAGGGATAGAAGAGCTAATGCAGAGTTTACTTAGTGGAGAAGTGGCTCAGATTCCAGATTGCGCTCTTTTGGATATCCCTACTGTAACAAATTCCGATGCTGAAAGTTGTGTCAGATTTGTGAGACCCATGATTGTTTCATTATGGAGATATATAGTCAGGAAACACTCTTGATGAGTATGTAGTATACTACATCTGTAATGATTGTGTTTCTCATTGAACTGGTACCACTTGTGCATTGGAGCTAATAATGTTTTCTAACTTCAACTCAACTGTATAGCTTGTAACTTTCTGTTGAATCAAATAAAAAGCTTGATTTGCAGTGCTTCTTTGCTATTTGCATGATTGAAGAGGAACATGAAATGTCAATATTTTAGTGTGCACCGCCTGTTTCTTGAGATAGTGATTCAGTTTTGCATCCATTGGTCCGTTTGTGTTTCTCTGCGCTATGCACGAAAAAATAGACTATATACATTTTGTGTGATAAATAAATCATCTTAATCTTAAATTATATCTTAATAGCGACAAGCCATAATATTAAGCCATCTAGGTAGATGTTAACAATAATTAATCTACAAAATTTTACAATAAAATTTGATATGCATAAAAAATTATTAATTATAAAAATTGTTGAGAATAATAGTATCACAATCACTCGATAACATCTATACTATATATATAAATTTATTTAGACTTTTAAATCAGTGGTGTATATTATCATTGTGGGATCAAATTATGAATAAATATCAACTTTTAATTATAATTTATAAGTAGTTTTTAAAAAAATTTAATTTAAGTTTGTTGTCTTGCTCATAAAAAGAACTTCTCAAACAAATCATTAATTGATTATGTTAGCAACTCTCTATGTTTGATTTCCTCTATTAATGACACACATATCATATCAAAGTATAAATCCTTCTTCATATTTTGAATAATACTTGCATAGTTCCTACATCATTTTAAAAAAATTAATCAAGATAAGAATTTCGTATGATTATAAAACTTATATAAGAAAATAGTTTTAATCCATTTTATTTATAAAAAAATGATAAAAAATTATTTGAATTGTACTTGAAAAAATATAACAAATGATAGCTTTAAATCATTATATATCCAAAAAAAAAATTATTTGACAATATAATCTAGCAAATCAACTAATAATAACATAGAGATATTGACAAATATGTAGTACTTCCCTATCATCTTTGTATTATATTCATTAATTTCATATATTATATGAAAGTTTTATTCGTCTCGATCCTTTAATAAAATAAGGATCAAGAAAACAAATTTGATAAGAAATTGATTCTAAACTTAATTATTGAAAAAAAAAATTCAAAGAGAGAAATTGGATTGCCTCCAATTGTGATAAAATCAAAAACAAAAAAACAAAAAAACCAAGAGCCAAGCTACAAAATAATATCCACTAGAAGACAAAAAAGAATTACATAAGTGTAATTTCAATTACCTAGCGAATCCACGCTCAAATTGAACTGACCTTAATGTGTCTCTTCCACTATCGTCTTCACCTTGGAATTGTCTTGTCCAACGTTGAATCCAAAATGCTTTTGTTGAATCCACAACGACGAGCATATTCATTTGGAAACAAAAATAAGTAGGACTGGAAGTTATTTAAAAAAATTAAATATAAGTATATTGTGGTTGAATTAAGAAAAAATAGATAGATTAATAATGTTGAGCATTGATTTTTCTTTAACATTTATTTTAAAACTATTTATACATATTATATATAATTATATATATACATAAAGTTTAAATTAAATATAAATT